AAGGGAGGGTGAGGGACGGTGGGAAAAGGGGGTGTGGTGGTTCTTCGGTTTTTACACAGATAATGGCGTTGGTGGCCGATGGTGGTGCAGTGTGAGTGTTGTGTTATTGGTGGTGGTGTTGGCTGAAAGAGAAAAAAGAAGAGTGGTGGGTGGTTGTCGGTCATTAGGGTTAGAGAGATTTGAGAAAAACACGTATGAAGTACGGTTCAGTGTTTACTTCAAATTTTGGTATGTGGGAAATTCAAACATTTTAGATATGTGGGCGGGAATACTAAAATTTGTTAATTTTATTATCTTGTTTTATAAAACATAGTATTATTATTATTATCATCATCATCTTAAAATTACTATTTTAATATAATCATAATTTTTAAAACCTATGTATTTATTAATATTTATAAATTTTTAATGACAAAATAAATTTTTTGTTTTGTTATTAGTGGCATGAGTTATGAAATGAAAGTCTGGTTACCAAGGGTAGGTAGGCATCGGTATGGCCTTATAGGAAAAGTATATGTATGAATGTTTAAAATTATGGGTACGAATATAAGGTTGAGGGTAGGGGTGTGTGGTGGTAGGGTAGATGTCGGGGTGTGGTTCGGATAAGCATGTGGGTGCGGGCGTAAGTGTAGGGGTCGGTGTGGGTGGTAGGGTAGGTATATGTGTATCTATGAGTGTTGTAGGTTATATAAGGTGATGGTTGGTATGCGTGGGAGTGTGGTTGTAGATGTGGGCGTTGGGTGGATATATATAGGTGGTATGACTGGTTGTAGGTTTGGCATGTGGGGTATGGAGGTTTCAGTGAGGTGGAGGTAGGATGGGGTAGGCATCAGTGTGGGCTTAGTGCTTGAGTCATAATCCCTAAACCCTAAGCCTTAAGTTGTGATTCATAATCATTAAGGTATTATCCATAACTTATAATCCATATTTCCTAAACCAACAGCCACGAGATTAATATATGTGGTTGTGGGTGTGAGTGTAAGGGTGGGTTGATGGATATGGTTGGGTGGTTGTAAGGGTAGGATGGGGATGTAGGTGTTGGTGTAGTTATATGTATGGGAGGGTGGTAGGGTGGTATGGGAACAAGGTGTGTGGTATGGAGGTAAAGGTGGGCTTGTATGAATGAGCCTTAAGTCGTAAGCATTAAGTCATATGCCTTATGTCATAAGCTATATGCCCTAACCCTAAGTCCTAAGACTTAAGCCTTAACTTTAAGCCCTAAGTCATAAACCATAAGCCACAAGGCGTGAACCCTAAGTCATACCCTATAAGCCGTAAGACTAAATCCCTAAGCGCTAAGCCATAAGGCAAAAGCCTTAATCCTTAAGCCTTAAGTCATAATCCCTAAGACATAAACCATAAGTAATAATTCACAAGCCCGAAGCTATAATCCCTAAGCATAAGCCCCAATATCCCTAGGGAATAAGCCCTAATCATTAAGTTTTAAGAACTAAACCACAAAACATAAGCAAAATAAGCCCTAATCCATGTTCCTTAATCCAAAGACCATGATCCATAGGGCATAAGCCCTAAGAACTAAACCACAAAACATAAGCAAAATAAGCAAAAAGCCTTAAGCCAAACACCCACCCCTAAATGTTAAGTGTCATCCCTACCCCACAAACCCTATGGTTTTACAACCACAACCAACCACCCCACACCTCACCCCTACCAACACCCGACCCCACCTACCCTATACAAAAATCCCCACATCCACATACCTTACTCCCACTTTACAATCTTACCCCAACGAAAACACCGTGTATCCACTTCGACCCACCCCTACCCACACTTACAACTACCCACCTCACCACACTTCCAATAATAGTATACTTTTTGTTATTTTTCTATAATTATGTATTTATATCATAATATTTTGAGTCTTCCACCCACTATGCTATATTTTGTTTAAAACCAAAAAAATTGATTCATCCCTCCAATAATATAAACACTCACCCCTAATCCATAAACCTTAAGCCGTAAGCCATAATTCATAAGCCTTAATCCATAATCCACAAACCCTACGCCCTAATATGTAATTCATAAGCACTAATCCCTAATCTATAACCCATATTCCCTAATCAACGAGTCATAATCCCTAATCCATAATCCATAAACCCTGGGATCTAAGCCACAAGTCATAATTTCTAATCCCTCGTCTATAAACCCTAAGCCCTAAGTATAAGTCCTAATCCACAAGCCGTTAGTCCTAAGCCATAAGTCAAAAATCCATAACAAGGCCTAAGACATAATATAGCCATAAGCCATGAGCCGTATCTCCTTAGCCATAAGCCTTATGCCTTAATCCATATATCACAAGCCACAAGTCATGAACTTTAACTCCTTAGCCATAAGTCTTATGCCTTAATCCATACATCATAAGCCATAAGCCGTAAGCGATAATCCTTAAGCCTTAAACGATAAACTATATGCCAAAAGACTTAATCCATAAGCCACAAGCACCTAAATCTTAAGCCATAATCCCTAAGCTATAAGCCTAATCTCTAGAACATAATTCACAGGTCATATGTCCTAAACCTTAATCCCTACACCCTTAGCCAAGAACCATACATTATACGCTATAATTCATGAGCCCCAAAAACTAAACATTAAGCAATAAGTCATCACATATAAGCCATAAGCCATAATCCTTGAGCGATAAACAAGTAAGCCTAAACTCTAAGCGATTTACTAAAACTATCAATTATAATATTCAATTAATTAAATTTATAATCATAAGTTACGTTTTAAATAAATTTTTTCCACCTAATAACTATAATAATTGGAAGTTCCCTCCATTAATTTCACCCATTTTGATTTCCCTAATTTAATTTTAGCGATTTTGATTTCCCTCCCCACTCAAAGTAATATACTTCCCTTTTTCTATCTTTCTTAAAAAAATTATTTTCTGCAGTTCAACACATACGATTCCCTGTTTCACCCCCTCGATTCAACAATCGCACCACTGTAAAGTTTCAGTTCTCTACATATAACACTTAAAGTAATTTATGTTTTTTATTTTTCCTTCTATTTATCTTAACCTAATTGATTTTCCTTTGAGACTATTTGTTGTATACAAACAGTCGACGACCCTTCTCCACATCGTGCCTGTCCTACAATATTTTAGCTCTGGTCAGCGCCACCATGTTTCCTAAATAGCAAATTACCCTCATTTTACATCGCGACCGAATTCCTTTTTAAATCCAGATGAGATAATCACAAACAAATTAGGGCATACTACTCAGAGGATTCTAAGGTTGATAATTATTGATAAATTGGCGCCTGGAACGACAAGGCATCAAAACACCCTCAGTTGCTAATAGGATTGCGCCGATAATCAATATTACACTTTCTTCACATTGTTCTTCACACCCTTAGTGAGTCAACGATTCATCCATTTTAGATTTCATTGTAATTTGCAAGTCAATGGTAATTTCAATTTTCCTAATTTCTGATTTGTCTTTGACCTTCTTTATTTCAGTATAAATCAAAATCGACTACTCTGATCATCTCGTTTCTTCTAATTCTCTGTAATATGTATCTATGCTCAGGCTTCTATTCTAAGGACTTTGCTTCTAAGGGTCTACTATTCGGATTTTCTCTTGTCACAAATCTTTTTATCTAAGGTAATTTTTATTTTTTTTATAATTTCATACTTTTTAGTTCTATTAATTGTAATGAAATGTAATCTGGTTTGATGGATTCTTCATATACTATATATATATATATATATATATATATATATATATATATATATATAATGTAGAGGGGTGAACGATCAATAAGCATAAGTGTTCAGGAAGTCCGAAAAGATACAAAGGATACATGGCTAGTTGCACATTTGACCAAACTAGTTTGGTTTAAAAATAGAAACCCAAGGCACAACTCCATTCTTTGGCTAGCCATGTAGGGTAGACTTCACATTTTTTTTATCTTGTTTAATTAGTATAGGTTTTAATTTCTTTAACGTCACATACACATTCAATTAAATGTATTGGGTTGTCATCCAGGTATTTGCAAGATGGCTTTAAATGTCATTGGTACGATCCAACACCTAACATAGGAGTTAAGGTTCACAGACAATATAACTTGGTCGAGATAAACGTCAAAAAATACAACAATTTCGAGCCGTTTGTTTTAGCCATGCAAGCCACTCAGGTGTGTTACATTCCTTACCAAAGTTTGAAAACAAACAACTCGGACTGGTGGGCTGTATGTAAAGTTAAACCTCGTTGTTGGACTGATGTATGTGAAAATCATCCTTAGAAAGACGTTGCTTTCCAAGAAGATGAAGTTGAATCAAATGAAATCATTATTCCAACTACAGCCGATACAGACAATTATGATGATCATGACATGTCAAGCAGTGGTTCAGATAATGAAAATAACAGTGATGAAGAAGGTGGAATTCATGAGGACGACAATGATGGTATTACTGACAGCGAGGGTAGTTATGAGTATAGTACATTGAGAAATGAAGAACAAGATGAGGAAGAAGAAGAGGAGGAAGAAGATATTGACTAGATGTTTTTGTTTCTTTATAGAAGGATGGTTATATTGTCTAATTTTTAGTTTTTGCATGCGAATTGGTAAATGTGATGTTATTTATTAGTGCCCTTCATGAGAATTAAATATAATGAAATTTTATCATTCTTTGGCACATCGAAAGCATTTACTAAAAGGGGACATGTGTTTTTGAGATATTTGTATGTACAATATTTTCATTAAATATCCAGGTAAGTAACCGTTTATGTTATAATCCAGTTTTTTTACATTGAAATGGTAAAAAATTATTCAAGATAACATAAACATAATAGCAAATGTTTATTCTTTCATATTATTAAAGACATATAAAATGCAATAAATTAAACAAAAAAAGTTATATTACCAATTCAAATATATATTCAAAACATAGCTTACCAATTCCATTGATCATAATAACAATAAGAAAATTAATTAAACATACAACATCCCAACAAAGAAACAAACCAAACACGCCATCATGAACTTGATGATTCCAACTCTACCACCTTCAACTCGAGGGACATTACCATGTTCATTAGTATCTTGAATAACAACTTGAGTCGGGGTTTCATTAACATGAAAATTGACAGGAGCGTCGGGGGGGGGGGGGCATCTAACATGACATCTTCACCATTGGCTTGAGCTCTCAACTCGTACATCTTCTCTCTATACCACTTGTTCGACAGTTGTGGGTCAATCCAACGAAAAAAACCACAATTTATGTATTCATCATTGTAGTTTGTGCAGCCAAGGAACCTCCGTCTAGGATTCTTTAGCATCCATGTCATCCACATTCCAACCGAATGTCCCCATCCGCACAGCCTCACGTTACTGCTTGAAGACGATGACATCGATTTACCCTAAATTATCTTCTTCCGCTTGTGGGTCTGCGAATATGGGAGTTGGATTGGATGCTTTATTTATGAAAATAAATTCCATAATATGGCACTATAATTAATGTAAAATACTTTACAAAAAATTAATTCCTAGCAAAATTGGTAACAAAAGTTACAACATATAATTGCTCAATACTAAAAATTCTACGAGTTTTATTGTCGTTGCAAATTTCCATAGCTAAATATCTATGAATTTGAACGACTCTTTATCAACGTTGCTATGGAATATAATTTCGTAACAAATGTCGTCACAAATTAGCTAGGCATTTTGTTCCATAGCAAAACAAGCAAAGGAAATCAAATTCCATAACAGAATTCCCTAGCAAATATGTACGAATGGTACTTCCAAAGCAAAGCAAATATGGAATTGGTTTCTGTTGAAAAAGTATATTGCATAGTAACCATGATAATTAATTCCATAGCAGCAATACAACGAAAAGTGATTTCGTTGGAAAATTGCTACGAATGTTTTTTCCATAGAAATATCGATAGCATAATACCAACGGATATGGAGTCGGTAGCATTTTCCCTAGCAAGTCCCATGCTCGCTACCAGAAATAAATTTCGTAGAAAATATGGTAGCAACCTTGATATGGAACGACATTCCATAGCACGATCCATTGCATATTAATAATGAAAATACGTTCCATAGCGCCCTTCCCTAGCAAAATCACGTTTTTCTTGTAGTGTATCAGTTAGAGAGCTGACATTTCGGAGTCGGACCTCATCAGTTCTGTTCAGCCTGCAAGGTGAGTTTTCCTCACTGTACTTACGAGTCGAAGGCACCAAGGTCGGACCATTGGTTTAATAACATGATATTCGTTGGTATGTTGAGTAATAGATATGCATGCTAGTTCTGTTATGCTAGTTGGTAGATATATAGGACTACCTGTGATGTTGTTTGTATGATTATATGTATATGATATTATCTGTTATATGTCGACATATTATGTGGGTTGGGTTGAGGTTGTAATGTTTCGTGCGGTAGCCAATAAACCCTGGAGCAATTTAGATATGAGTTGAGGCCTGAGGGCCAGGTAGGGCATACCAGACTCATACTGAGGGCTCATGTGCATTCTAGATACGAGTTGAGGGTCGGGTAGGGCAATCCAGACTAGTATTGAGGGCCTGGTGTTAATCATTCCAGGGACTGATCTAATCGAGGAGCAAGCCAGACATAAGACGAGGGTCGAGGGCAAGCCAGACTTATGATGTGGGCTCAAGGGTTATCCAGTCTGCTAGTTGTGGACCCATTGCATGATGTTATTGTATATGTGTTATTTGTTGTGTTGGTATTTTAGGGGAACTCACTAAGAATTGGGGTTACAGTTTAGGGTTATGTTTCAGGTACCTCAAATGATCGCAGGAATGTGAAGGCGTGATCGTGCACCTCCTCGTGTTTTGAAACTACATTGTAAACAATTATGATTTTGGTTGGTATTAAAAAGTTTAAATTTGTCATGATTTTTATGGATGTTACTAAAGGGTTTTGAGCATTCTAACACTCCTAAGGTGTACATGCAACCCTAGAAACCTTGGATCTATGTTTTACTAAGATACATGCAAATTTGATTTTTCCAAGGTGCTTAACCTACAGCATGGCTGGGGAACTCTAAACATAAAAGCTAGTAGAAGAACATACCTTTCTTGTTGCTTGGATTCCTTGAGAACTTTGTGAGCCTAGCACCCCAAATGTGATGCCTCAAGTGTTTCACACAACACCACAACTCTTAGAATAACTTTGAAAGAAGTACACACACACTCAAAATAGGCTAGCCTTCCTTTTCTATTCTTAGTGGCCGATTTTGCTAGCCATGGAGCTTCTTATATAGTGTGCCACATGTAGGGTTACTCCATGTAAACCCTAATGTGCATGGCTTTTCATATTCCATGATCCATGGGTTCATAACCTCCATGGACTATCCATGGAGCACCTTATGGGTTTTAGCCCAACTCAATAAACCATGGATCATTAGCCCACTATATAAGAATGAATGATTTACACAATCATCCCCATATATTTAATTAGTCTCTTTTTGATCACCAAATTAGTTCTAAATTAATTCTTGATCAATACTAATTAAATAATATTATTAATATATTAGAACTTATAATATATTAATAAACCATAAGTGTCCTTTCTCTCATTTTATCTATCCAAGTGTCATGATCTCATGCAACCCAAATGGACCATGCCAACCGGGTCAAGTACATACCAGAAAGAGTTATGGACTTAGACACCTTATCCAACAGTCTCCCACTTGGATAAGTCTAATAACTATAACTGCAAGTATGACTTCAGGAACCGATCAGCAATCGTAGCTCTTTCAAAGTCTCGCGGAACTGAGATGATGATGTTATGCCATTTAAGATAAGTGAACATATAATCCTCTGTTCTTGATATCAGCCGGACAAATACATGGAACAATGTCGTACTTATTGTCCAGCAGTTTGTTTCCCGATTTCCGATTTGTTTGACATACAACTTAATCGAACACATCAATTTAGTTCTGACCGGGCCCGGTACATAGGTCACAACAAAATACATGGAACAATGTAGTACTTATTGTCCAGCAGTTTGTTTCCCGATTTCCGATTTGTTTGACATACAACTTAATCGAACACATCAATTTAGTTCTGACCGGGCCCGGTACATAGGGGCCCAGATATCGCTTCTAATCCTAGAAGGAACAGATAAACTTTGACTCATATGCTTGTTCTACTACTTGTTGAATCATACACAAAGGCACGTTTTATAACATCGAGTTACCAATGCGTTTTCGTGCAATCAAAGTATAACCAACTCATAGTCAACAACTCATATCTCTAGGTTTGAAGACTTATATGATATTACCGTCTCACAATCACTCGAGATAAATTCCATGAAGTGATACAAGTGAGCGTGGGTTGAATCCAATACGCAAAAATTATGAGCACTCATGAGTGTAGTAGCAACTCTTGCTATGTCCAACACCTTAGACATCTACAAGCCAACTTCATGACAGTCTTGATTCATATCTACTTCCAACATATGACCGACTGTGGAGAATTTGAATAATATGATATACCATAACATAATTATTCTGGAAGTCAAAACATGCAAAATGAAATGATAGTAAACGATTGACAGAAGATAGCAACACTTTACTTATAAATAAACAACAACTTTTATTTATCATCAAATGTCAATTACACTTTACAAATTTCAAAAGCTATCTAATTACTAAAACTAATATCATCCTTTAGCCCTATGCGCCTCGCATGCTGAAGATGCTTAACCCTACCCAGTCCCTTCGTGAGGGGATCTGCTGGGTTCTCATCCGATGATACCCTCTTTGCCACGAGGAGTCCTTCTTCTATTCGATGTCTAATGAAATGATATTTTCTGTCAATGTGTCTGGATCTCCCATGATTCATTGGTTCCTTTGCTAAGGAAACTGCACTTTCACTATCACATAAAATCTCCATAGGCTCCTTTATAGCTGGTACAACTCCAAGGTCTCCAATGAAGTTCTTCAGCCATATCGCCTCCTTTGCTGCCTCGCTTGCTGCTATGTACTCTGATTCGCAAGTTGAATCAGCCACTGTCTCCTGCTTGAAAATTTTCCAAGTTATTGCTCCTCCGTTTAAGGTAAAGACCCAGCCTGACTGAGAGCGGAAATTATCCCTATCAGTCTGGAAGCTAGCATCACTATACCCCACTACTCTCAAGTCATCACACCCACTGAGGGTAAGGACCCAGTCCTTAGTCCTTCGCAGATACTTGAGAATGTTCTTTACCGCAGTCCAGTGAGCCTTGCCAAGGTTCCCCTGATATCTGCTGACCATGCTCAAAGCAAAGGCCACATCAGGACGAGTACAAGTCATAGCATACATGATCGAGCCTACAGCGGAAGCATACGGTACTCGACTCATCTCAGCTATCTCAGCCTCTGTACTCGGGCTCTGAGTCTTACTCAAACTGGCGTTACTCTGGATCGGTAACTCTCCTTTCTTGGAATCCTGCATGCTGAACCTATTCAGCACCTTATCCAAGTAGGTACGCTGACTAATTCCAATTAGTCTCTTACTCCTGTCTCTCAAAATCCTTATCCCTAGGATATAAGCAGCTTCTCCAAGATCCTTCATAGTGAAACACTTCCCAAGCCAGGACTTCACCTCCTGCAGAGTTGGGATGTCATTTCCTATGAGTAGTATGCCATCCACATACAATACCAAAAAAACTAACTATACTTCCACTAGCCTTGACATATACACAGGACTCATCTTCGCTCCTCGAAAAGCCAAACTCTTTGACTTTCTCATCGAAACAAAGATTCCATCTGCGAGGTGCTTGTTTCAATCCATAGATGGATTTCTCAAGCTTACACACTCTATTAGGGTACTCTGCGCTGACAAAACCCTCTGGCTGACTCATGTAAACATCCTCAGCCAACTTTCTATTAAGGAAAGCGGTTTTGACATCTATTTTCCATATTTCATAATCATGAAATGCACCAATGGCTAGCATAACCCTAATAGACTTAATCTTAGCTACTGGTGAAAAGGTCTCATCATAATCAACTCCCGGAGTTTGAGAAAAGCCCTTTGCAACCAGTCGCGCCTTATAAGTGTTACATTACCATCCATGTCGGTCTTCTTCTTTAAGATCCATTTGCACCCGACTGTCTTACGACCTGGTACATTGTCAACCAAGTTCCAAACTTGATTGTCATACATGGACTGTATCTCGCTGTCTATAGCCTCTTTCCATTTAGCAGACTCGGGGCCTGCCATGGCTTTCGTGTAGCTGTTACGTTCATCCAGACTCACCAATGTACTTTCACTGATAAGTGTATCACCTTCCGCAGTAATTTGGAAACCATAGTAGTGCTCAGGTGCATTCCTAACTCTAGTGGAACGCCTCAGAGGTACATACTCGTCAGTTGGATCAACAAGAGTTTCCTCCTCAGGTT